GAATTTCGTCTTTTATTCCTTAAGCCATTTATTGATTAATATTCATCCAAATGTTGACAAATTTGTTCATTGACCTGTAGACTCTTCTAAGTCTATACAAAATGTAAGAAACAATATTTTAAATTCTGTTATGTCATGCACTTGTTTGACAAAAACTTCAAGTGGTGCTTAAATTAAAATAGAATGATGAAGCTTTAAAATACCCACGGTTGAATATCATAAATATTATTTTGACTGGATAGAAGACTCTAGATCTAAAATAATGAGTTTATACATGTATTATGAATGTTGTAAGGTCTAACTTACATTAAAAACTAAACCAAACAATAATATTATTATGTCTTTTATTCTCAGTATTAAATTAGAAACCAATACTATAATACTTTAAAAAACTCWTACAAAATTAATGAGCTACTAGGACAATAGAATGAGCCTATTTGGTCACATGCATGGACCTTTATATCTGATAATAACACTCCTTATTAGCATTCTTTATATAAAGAATACTAATAAAGAATACTAATAAGGGTGACCTTTATCAGATATAAAGGTCCATGACCCTAGCAAAGGTCTCAGGTTTGAAACCTGATCATTGACCAATGCAGGATGTCAACCGATTTCAGTGAACAGCCAAGAGCGGTTCTATTTTATACTTTATGCGTATTCAATGTGGGATGACAAGAGTGCTTTGTAAAGTGATTCGCGCATGATCAGTTTGCCCCATTTATCTCTGAACATATTTTTACGGCAATTTCTCCAAGAATTTTAACGGATTTGAGTTTCAAATTAGTGTTGGAGTTTTTTAAGCCGTTTAAAACACTCCAGATCGTGTTTCATCAGGTATAAAGAATATCACCTTCGACTCGAATCTTTATACCTGATAAAACACTCTCTCTCGTGTTTTAAACTATACATATACCATCTGATATTTTTAGTCATTAGTTACTTTACAAGTTAATATTATTTATAACTTTTCTTCATAAAATAGAGAAATTAAATCAGGATGTAAAGATAGATATCATGCTCCTGACCAAACATTAAACAATGCATAGCTTTTAAATACAACTTGTGAAGTAGATTACTTTGATTAGTGAAAAAAAGGTAAAACTCTTACATGACACAATACACTGTATTACTGGACTAAAATCCAATGCTACAACAATATAATTTAATATACCAGTCCTATTTCAAAAAATGTTGTATGGGAGAACGGAGAATGGCGATTGTCAAAGGGAGATTACACAACCAAAAGGGACTATGGTTACACTCTTTTGACAAACAAAATTTGACATGTTGGATTCATCTTGCATAGAAATGAAGACTAAATAAAACTACTGTTCACCAAAAACTTTATTGCAGAATAAATCAGTTTGCTATTTTTCATAAATTAGAAATACCCACTGCTACCTTCGCTTGTGCAATTGTCTTTCGAAAATTGACATTCACCATTTTATCCAACAGCCTTCTTTGAAATTGGACAGGTACATATTACAGTGAGAATCGAAAAATTGTGACTGCCTACAAATATTTTGAGAATGTTTATTGACCAATCAGAAGCAAGATTAACAGTATCATCTAACTGAATTTTCATGTGCAAATTTGAACAAAACTTCAGTGTTTAACATAAAAAAAGCCTGTAAAATTCCACAAATAGTACAAATTCATTATTTAGAAATTAAAAAACAAAAGTTATCCATTTAAAACTAAAAGTCACTTTTCAAGTACCAATGAAATACATTTCTAGGCAATCATGGCTTTTTGATTTTGCATGCATCTCTTTCTTTGAAAACATTGTCCTCTTTCTCAATGTTTTTTTCTTTCCTTTCACTTTTTATCTCTTGTTTCACCTTGTATGACGCCTTCTTAAAAATTCATTCTTTCTTTTGATTTTATTGTGAAATTCTTATTATTGATTCAATGACTCTCAGATATTTGTCAACTGCAAACCTCCTCTTAGGTTTCTCTTGCCAACATGCAGAAAATTTCCATAAATAGGAGCTACACATGGATTTGATAATCCAGTCTCCATTTCTTTGCAAAATGGCTTTTTATCTCACATTTAGTCAAATGCACTAATATTYGGTATTGACTTGTGATCAACATTGCTTGATCTCCCTTTTTTTATAAAACATCACCTCATTTTATATTCTCACTTTGTAACATCTACATGTACACAATCTCCTTCAAACATTTCTTAGGATTAAAAAAATGTATGCCTTACTGTACTTGAATTGTCAATTTGATAAACATTGTACAGGCCTTCAGCTAAATTCAAATGACACAAATATGTACAAAAAAAGAAAAGAGAGAAAGAAATTACTGAGCTTTGATTTCTGATATCATAAATGGTTTTGTCAAATATTGTGTTCTGTTAATAAAAATAAACTTAATGGCTACTCCATGGTTAAGTAAATATCAGAGAGGAGAATAATGGGGAAACACCATGAAATTATCCAATTTATAAAGTGTATGACTGCACGATTTAAGTGTTGCCATTTTTCCCAAAGATTTAAAACCTCACAGAAAAACAAGTAATTAAGTTCATGTGAAAATCTTTAAGGGTATGCTTTCCTTTTAATCCAAGAAGTCTATTTAGGGTATGACAAAGATCAAAAATTCATAAGCTCAAAAAGATTTCTTATACTCAAAATTACCATCAATTGCGCCAGATTTTAGAAGTCTGCGCGTTCTGCATTCTCAGGCAACCAGAATTTGGAAGATGGAAGGATTCGAACGATTGATCAAGAGCACTTGTACATTTCCGAAAATTCGTCGTCATCGGAAATGTACATGGGCAACGCAAAATACACTGAAATCGATTAGAGAAGCATTGAGTTTTTGAGGATACATGTCTAGTTTGGGGATTAAGCAAAATAAACACAAAAAATTATGCTGAAAGTCAGATCAAAATTAAAGCTTTGTGTATGAGCTGAAATTCAAGCGAAACATAACATCAGTATTAGCCTGCAGCAAGCTTATACGAAACCCCCGTGTAGTTTTATTTTTCGGTTTAGTGTTTACGTTTGAACGAACGGCAGGAGAGCCGAAAGAATGAATGACATAAGAGAATTTCTGAGTCTAAAAAAAATGACCTTATGGAGCTCGATTTCAATGAGAAAATTAGGTCACCCTAGAATGAATCTAATCTTATTACTCCAAATATAATTTGCGAATCGAATGACGATGCTTCCTATACCGAGTATATAGATTACAATGAGGGGAAATATGCATAAAAATGCGCTTCCTCTGCGAGGGAGTCAGTGCGAAATCGGAGCGACAGAGCAAGATTAGAACACACAATAAACTTCACACATACACTAATAAAGTGGTCTAGCATTTATTTGAACAGATCAAGCTTACCTGTTCTTGTGAAGCATAGTGTTTGTCCGAGCTGTCCGCAGACCAGTACGAGAAATCAAATGTAAAGTCTTTCTTGTCCGAATGATCGCAACTTGCACCTGGCGCCTGAAACGAGAACGACATGTTTACTGGCACATTTATCGCACAAAATGACTAGAGTTTTGCCATAGTTTGTACTCACATGGAAATTTGATATGACAGTCTTTTTATCCTCCATAAAAATGCATGTTTTCGCATCCATGTCCCTCTCCCTGATCGATACAAGAGAGGCCATTAAAGTTCTTAATGTCACCCTTMATTTTAGTGTGTTTTACATCGACATTTTACTAACCTCTTATTGAGGGGCCTGACACGAACTGCAACTTTAACAGAAGCCATGTTTTGGCTTGTTTAGAGGCGATATTATTTCCTTTTACCGGCCATTTCTTCAGCTTSATCTAAGATTCCATCCAAGCTGGATTTCCCATTTACTGTTCATAGGCATGCGCAATATTGACCGGGTGAAAAGGGGTCCCAGTCCCTTTTTGCATTGACTGGACATTTTGGCAACGTCTTAAAAAATGCCATTTTTTTCAAAATTATAGAATTCGTTCAAATATTCAAGAAGGACATAAATTTATAGCTTCAAAGAGGACTGTTTACTGAATATGATTTTTGTTTCGAGGTAAATACTTGGATGACTGAAAACAAACTGAAACTTAACAGGGACAAAACTAAGTTATTATCTTTATCCTCTAAATTTGGTCCAAAATTGTCTGCTCCTCTTCTGCACTTTGGTGATGAAATTATCAGGTCTTCTACTAGCGAAAGAAACATTGGTGTGATTTTTGATTCTGAAATGTCTTTGGTTCCACATGTCAATAATATCTGTAAAACGTCATTTTATCATCTACGTAACATTTCTCGTATCCGTAAATTTATATCTGTGAGTACTGCTGAAAAACTTGTCCATGCCTTTGTAACTTCAAGACTTGATAATTGTAACTCTCTTCTATATGGTATATCTGGTGTTCACCTGGATAAGCTACAACGTGTTCTTAATTCTGCTGCCCGAATTGTTACTCTCTCTAAACGTCGTGATCATATTACTCCTTTACTAAAAGATCTACACTGGCTCCCTGTTCGTCAACGTATTAATTACAAGATTCTTCTACTTACCTTCAAAGCACTACATGGTCTTACTCCGTCTTACATTTCTGAACTGATCTCTGTATACAAACCTAAAAGAACGCTTCGGTCCTCTAAAGAACTACTCCTATCTGTTAAACCTTACTCCATGAAAACATATGGCTCTCGCTCTTTCTCTGTTGCTGCCCCTACTTTATGGAACTCTCTCCCATCTGATTTAAGAAACATTGACTCTTTGCTGTCCTTTAAGAAAGAACTCAAAACTTATTTGTTTAGTTTAGCTTTTAGAGTTTAATTTGTTTGTTAGTTATCAGAGCGCATAGAACAGACTTGTATATGCGCTATACAAGTTTTCATTATTATTATTATTATTATTATTGTAAATTTCATATTGTGACGTCACCACTTTGGCACTCAGTTGAATCAGTTGAAAGACAACACGATTTTTTTAAAAAAGTATAATGATTATTTTTTGAATATCGAATTTTTGCAGACAATGTACATCATACTGAGCAATCAATCGTGGTACCACCGTTGATTGATTGATAGACATCCTTCATAGACGGTGCATATCCTTGATCTACCGTATTCATTTGTTGGCATTATTTTTTCCCTATCATTTCATTTATTTGACTGATTGGTAGCGACTGATTCGCTTCTGATTAATTGGATTGTNCCCGCGTTGTATGACCTCGCTGTTGTTTGAAGGGTCCAAAGCAACGAGCCAAGGAGAATTTACCTAATTTAGGTAGATCCTGCAGCCATTTCTGCCATGGTGACAAGTACTGATCAGGAATTCTTTCATCCCACTGTAACTTCAGTCGAGTGAGGTCTTGCARGATTATCTTGGCGGTCAGTGTAAARGGAGCTGCCATACCCAAGGGATCAAATACAGAACTAACCACGGATARAAGACCACGTCTTGTCAAAGGGCGTTCGTGARGTGTWGTTTTGAAACCAAAGGTATCTGTTTCAACTAGCCATGTGACACCAAGGGCTCTTTCAGCTGGCAATTCTTCGYGGGCAATGTCTAATTCTTTGACTTCTTTCGCTTGTTCGCATTCAGRAATCGATTGCAGTACTTGACGACTACTTGAGATCCATTTGGTTAACCTGAATCCACCATCTTTCATAAGTCTGCATATATCTTCAACGAACTGAATGGCTTTCTCAGCAGAGGGTAAAGACTTTAGACAATCGTCTACGTAGAAGTTCTTGAAAACAGTTGATATGACTTCRTYTTGAAAAAGGGCTCTGTTGGARTTGGCGTTGTGTCTCAACGTGAAATTAGCRCAAGAAGGCGAGGAGACTGCGCCAAAAAGGTGAACATTCATTTGGTATTCATCAGGTTCTTTGTCGAATTGAGYGTCGGTCCACCATAAGAAACGTAAGAGATTACGTTCMGYTTCGGGCACGCGTACTTGAAGAAACATCCCTTCGATATCGGCCATGACGGCAATACTTTCCTGGCGGAAGCGTAAGAGCACACCAAGAAGGCTGCTGGTTAAATCTGGAYCTTGTAATAGGACATCGTTGAGAGCTACGCCTTGGTATTTGCATGAACAGTCAAAGACAACCCGTATTTTTTCACGTTTTTTCTTGTGGTAAACGCCATGATGCGGAATATACCATATTTTACCTTTGACGCCAGCGAGTTGTTCTTCCGGCACTTTTCTTGCATATCCTTTGTCGATCGTATCTTTCATGAAGGTCGTATAGTCCTGTCTAAAGCTTGGATTGTTCAAAAGTTTGTTCTTCAGATATCCACATCTTCTTTCGGCTTGCACACGATTGTTAGGTAAAGTGACAGATTGGTCCTTGAGAGGTAGGCTAACTTCGTAGTGCTGGTCTTCAAGATGTTTGATGGACTTCTCCATATGTTCCATAAACTTGACTTCTTCCCTTGTATAGTCCTTGGAGATACTGTAAGTGTCACTCTCTAGGAAGTCTGCACATTCCAAACACTGCATGGAAGCTTGAAA